CTCCAAATAAATGCAAATTTTAACTGCACCTGGAGCCCCTTGCTCCTGATTAAAGCAGATCTACCAACCTGTTTGGTTATGCTGGCTCCCCTTCCGCCTGGATTGGGAGGTGTGCTTTTAAAAAATGCACCAGAGACACAGGTTCTTTCAATTGGCAGAGAAGGGTTTATATTTTTTTTCTCTTCCAACATTGATTAGCTCTGCCCCTTGGATGTTGTTCCAAAAGTTATAGTCCTTGATATCCAGTCTCAGGTTAAAACTCTCAGGTCTTTTCTCCAGCAAGAAGAAAAATCAAAAAGCAAACTAGATAAAAATTATGTGCGTGGCGGGGGGAAGAAGGGGGGTTAGTGTTCAACATGGACATTTTTAACTCCAATCATTATAAACTGCCTTTCTCGGAAGATAAGCAGGCAACCCGACATTCAGGATGACTGATAACAGGGTTGTTGTTGTGGAGAAAATAGGAGGAGGAAGGAGTTATTAGGTACATTCACCGCCTTGAGTTATTTAAAAATAATAAAGGCAGGTTAAAAAAAACCTAAACAAAAGATGAGCGCAACGTCGCTGTAATGTGTTCCCATTAATCTCAGATCTGCAGAGAGGCCCTTCTGAAAATGTATTGGCAAATTTATTTATTTTTCAAATTTATATATGTCACCCATCTCACTATACAAGTGACTCTAGCTTCATCAACCCAACACTCAAGAAACAGTCTACTTTGATGATCCCAAGCTGCCAAATCTACATTCCCAGGAATTGCCACTGGCTCTCGTTCCCTTTTCCTTTAAAAAAGCAGCCAAGAAGATCTTTTTTTTTTTTTTTTGCTACGCTTTCTCAGCACTGCCTCGAATGTTTGGGTTAAAGATTGAACGGTGTCACCCTACACAGATAAAATGTTACCTCTCCTTCCTATCAAGATTGACTCCTGGAGACTTCATGGACACATCCGTTCCAGAAGGGGTTAGCCGGGCCTTCTTTTGGGATATCTTCTTGACGTCAAGTCTAGCCTACAGCCCTAGAATTCTTGGTGGTCCCCCATCCAAACTTCTGTTTAACTTCTAAGCTGAAACATGATCAGCCAGGTGTTTACTCTCCGTTACTCTCACTTTAACGGAATTACGTGTGTATGTGTGTATTTATTTTATTTCTCTATCTACTTCCTCTGAGCATCAGCAAGTTGGGGTAGGTTGCAAACCCTGGCCCTATAAATTTTTAATTCATATTTTGTTATATCAATATTTAGGCGTATTTCTTCAACTAAACAGGTTTGATAGACTAGCTGGCTTCTCCCTCCTTCCTTGTCATAGCTCTTTCCTCCGAATCACGGAACTTCTACTATGGGAAGTCACCCAGCCTAACGTTCTGCTCAAAATGCAGACACCACTCCTGATTAATTAAAACCCGAATTGATCTCTCATTTCCCTATAGCCAGGCTGATTCCAGGGGAAAATTCTTCCTACCTTTCCTGTATGTGGGAAAATGCCTTTTGAATGTATGCATGCTGAAAAGGGGGGGGGGAGTTTGCAAAACAGAACATGATGCCAGATTATTAATCAGGGCAGCAGTTGCATGATAATATTTTATTATTTATTTATTTATTATTAAATTTATATCCTGCCCATCTCCCCCAGAGGTGACTCTGGGCGGCTTACGGAATAATAATATGTTTGCGATAGGCCCCTTTATCATCTTTCAAGGACCCGATTTCATATTCCCCAGGGCCTTCCAGACATTTTCTTCGCTGACCACACTAGCTGATCCTCCTGGGTATTGTAGTCCAACAAACTAGCGCTTTCCAGACCAAGGAAGGCTGTTCCAAAGATTCAGAAGCAAGAGGGGAAAAAAACTTCCAAATACACAAGCTGGCAGAAACCCAGTAATAACACGAACCATTTCAAAAATGCAAAATTAAAAATTGTGACCCGTTAAGAAAAGGGTCCAAGGAAGAAAGATTGCGCTGCGGTAAATAAGGAGACACGGGGGTTATTCATTTTGCAAAGATTATACATGCTTAGAAGTTTCCAAGCATGTTTCATATGGCAAATGAACTTGTTTGGAGCCACCTAAAACAGTGAAATCTCTCCTTGTATATATTATAACTTTGCTTTGTCTCTCCAAGATACACAATTCGGGCTGACGTGCAGATAATGAGAGGGAAAGCCAAGGCTATCAACCCTTAACGTACAGCAGTCACCTTCCCAATCGATTCTCTAGAATCAGAGGGACCTTGAAAAAGAAAGCTAACATTCTGAGGCCTTTGAGGAAAACTGCAAAGCTTTCACGAAGCATTTAGGAAAGGGTGCTGGTGACAATAATATGAGAAAACTAGGGCTACCAAATCGGTTTTGCAAAGATCCAGATGGCCAGCAGAGGGCAACAAACTGTTGGCATTTTCTGGATCTCTTTCCTGCCCTCTGGTGGTCAACTGGAACCTTGCAGCCTAGACCAAGCAGCCCTAGAGAGACACATTATCTGGAACGATTTGCTCCCAAATCTCCTTAATGATGACCGTCATTTTGAACTACAGGGAGTCCCCAGTTTGAGAACGAGTTCCATTCCCAAGATCTGTCCTTAAGTCGAATTTTTATGTAAGCCGGAAGAGTATTATTGTATAATACTGTATAAGTAGTACTGTGTAATGAACTCGAACTATTGTGTATTTAACTCGAATCATGGTGTATTTAATTCAAATTTTGCTACAATAGGCTCCGTTCTTAACTATGGGCCATCCTTAAACCAGGCATTTTTAACCCGGGGACTACCTGTAATGGCAAACAGAAGGAATTGTGCGCATTAACAATACTGCAAAATACTTGAAAATCCAGTCTAGGAAGGGCTCAAGGGTCCCTTTCATCTGGTGTATGCAGGAAATGTGGTGGATGTTTTTTCTTGTTATTTCAGAGTTACACCCTTATTTGCTTTGTTCTTGGGTGCCTTTCGATGGACTTTGGTTTCCTTGAATGCTGGTCGCCAACAAGTGAAAAAGCTGGGATTAACAAGGGAAGTCCATTCAGATTTACACGACTGGATTTAAGAAATACAGAGAAAAAAAGGAAGCCTTCAAAAAATCGAAATCAGAAGGAACCTGTAACACAAGGTATCCAGAGGTCTGCGCTGGGTGGAAACATTGAGGGTTGCATTCTCAAAACATCTGGAAAAGGCCAGGTTTGGAGAAGGTGGAAGTGGCTTTAAATATGTTTTAAAATCTCTAACTGGAGAATATGTTTATTAGGGCTAACTCAAACAGTGTGCAAACTTTTGGGTGCTCCAGAATTCTGGAAATGGGAGAAAGAAGCGAAGCAAAGAAGAACAAAAATCGAATCAAAACCCTTCTGGACACGAATTCTGCCATTAGGAGACTCTGCACAGACAGGAGCAACCCCAGCATGTACGGTGGCCAACTTCTCAGCAATGATTCGCAGCAAATGCGTTCTCAGTTATTGGATTTATGGCATACTCTTTCAGATCAGAGAGCTGCGGGCGGTGGGGGGGGGAAGTCTTGTTGATATACATATTTTCTCAGCTCGACTGTGCCTACCAGCTGCATTTGGCCCACGGGCATGGGGTGCGATCCAGTTTCATCGGTGATTGCTCGGCATATTACCCAACACGTCCCAAACGGGTGAACGTTAATCATGAAATACGTTGTGCAAACTTAACGAATGACCTTTTGCATCCAGAAGATGCTCAAGGCCTGCTTGGAAGTACTGCATTAGACGCTCTCCACCCCATCGCGAGGCCTGGCAGCTGCTGTAACCACAGCATAGCCTGGCGCGCAAACTATCGCGGCATTTAAACAGATTTCTGGCCCCTTCCAGAGGGTGGCTGAGTTGGGCTGCCTATTCATTTCGAGCCACGCGTCATATCTGGGTGCTGCAGAAAATGAAAAAGGCAGACCGGGCCAGTCCTTCATAACAGGGGGCGGTGGGGGACAAATAATATCCTATCTTTACGCACGTGATTCTGAAGTGCGTGTTAGAGAGCAGGCAAACTGAAACTGCCTGATGACCCTGGACAGGAAGGAGATAAATAACAAAAAAAAAAAAGGGTTTTTTTTCCTGTGGTGTCAAGGGAGTCAATATATGGGTACAATAAAGGACACTGCTGATGTCAAAAGGTGCTAGTATCAGCAGAAAGGGTAGACTTGGAGTCTCCTTAGAAGATTAGCATGCAGAGGCACCCGGCAGTACATGGTAAGGTCACCCCATGTTGTTATCAGATCCTACATTCCTGCAGTAAAGTCTGTGCTATAATTCACACTGCTTTTTCAAATCCTATGTATAATTTCAGGGGGGATGTAACCTGTAACCTTGCGGGCCTTGGGGCTCTTCTGTGTTCCTGTGGTGAGAATCATTGTAGCAGCACTTTGTTGCATCTACTCCGTGCTTCAGTTCCTTACTTAAGGGGGCACTTCTCCCACAGCAGTACAGATCGTCCTCACTTAACGACCACTCATTCAGCAACCGTTCAAAGTTACAACAATGCTGAATGAGAGAGACTTACGACGGGTCCTCGTAGTTGCGGCCGTCGCAGCGTCCCCACAGTCGCATGATTGTGATTTAGGCGCTTGGCACCTGGCTCACAATTATGACGTTGCAGCGTCCCATGGTCATGATTTTCAACCTTCCCAGCTGCTTCTGACGAGCAAAGTCAATGGAGAAACCAGCAGGAAGTTGGAAGTCAGGTTCATGTGAGGTCCGTCCTTAACTATCACAGTTGGGACCAATGGGAGTGGCGTTATAAGTCAGCATGGTCACATGATGTCACGTTTAATGGCCATGCTGCTTAACAATGGAGTTTCCAGTCCCTATTGTGGTTGTTAAGTGAGAGCTACATGTATTGATTGTCACTGTTTGGAATTACGATGCCTCCAGATAAGTCCCCAAAGGTCCTTTGATTGAGCAGGAAGGTTTCACTTTAAGATCATCTGAAACCTGGAGCCAAGCATAAACAAGTCCACGATGGCTGTTCTACCTGGATAAGGATAGTCAGATACTTACAAAGCTGTGACTCGGGGGATCGGAGCATCTTCTTGGATTCCTGCCATATGGTCTTACAGTCTTCCTGGAGCTTGTAAAACCTCTCCCTTCTCCAGGAGTTGGACTTGACTTTCAGGAGATGACTTCCCCGCAGCAGGAACTTGAGGTCATGGTCATCTTGTAAACCTAAGGAGCACCAACATGACAATTAGCACACGGGTCACGCTTTCCACATACGATGTATGCTAACCCCTGCATCTGGTTCACTGCCTCTCTGGATTTACAAGAATGTGTAATTTTACCAGGTCAGAAGCAAAACTATGTATACAACAGCAGACTAACTTTAATAGTTGTTCCTAAACATTCAAGGCAATGGGTGTATCTCAAAAGTTTGCTTTCAGCTGTCCACCAGCTCCATTTACGTGGGGAGAGGCATTCCCACCCAGATGGGTTTTCAGAGGGAGCTTCCTCTGCACTTATTCAAGGAGTTTGCAGGCAGGGGGCACATCTGCAACCTTGGGTAGTCTTGAAAAAGGGTCAGACCTACTTGGTCCAACAGGATATCCCACATCTGGGAAGATGAAAAGCAGAAGACGACAAGGGCCAACTGTTTTAGGAAACCACCTGGAACTGTGTTTCACTTGACAAGTGTTTAGCTCTTTCCCTGGCAGGATCTACTGAGCTTGTTAGGGCAAAAAAAGTGGACCTCATTAGCATTTGAAAGGGAGTTGTTGTTTAGTCGTTAAGTCGTGTCCGACTCTTCGTGACCCCATGAACCATATTGCGCCAGGCCACAAGGGAGACCACAAGGTAATCTGAGGCTATAGGTTAGAGTGGGAGATGATGCAGTATTCCAGGAGAAGGCCATAGTAAACCACTTCTGTGTTACTCCCAAGAAAAATACATAAACATGTCCATCAACTCACCAGATGTCAAGCTCAAGTCAAAGAAATCTTTACCTTTGCTAGATGAGTGGGCGGACTCAGAACAAAGCACGCTGTGATTCATCTGATTTACCCTGAAACTAATGCAATACAGTTGATACCACTGCTCCCTGTCTTTATAATTATTTTCCTCTTCTGTCACATTAAAAATTACCATTTGCTGGCAACTCTCAGAGGGCCTTCCTGGGCTGCATTTAAAGCCTTTCGGGGGTCACATGCATGACCCCCACCAAGACCTTGGACTGCAATGCTGCCATTCCGAGTGATTTCTCCAGAGTTTCTCTGAACCTCTCCATTGCAGACTCAGGGCCTTTCCACACTACTTCTGATAGTATTTTCCTCCAATCCTTGAGCACAGAAAACCAGGCCTTGTAAAATGGGCAGAAGGAATAATCTTGAGAGACAGGAGGAAGAGTTGCAACCAAGGCAACAGTCAGATAAAAGAAATCTGAGTCTGGGGCAGAACTGTAATCTGAGAAAGCATCTCAGACAAGACTCTCCCTAGTTGTCACAAAGATGAAGGGGGGGGGGGGAAGCGCATTCAGATTTGCAAGAATTGGTTACTGTAAACTTATAATAAAAGTACTAGCACTCATGACTTTGGTTTTCTAGTCTGGTCTACCTTGAAGGGCTGACATCAGTCTTGCAAGTCTGTTACTCTTTTTCTAGAGAGGCACAAGATCTCTCTTTGGCTTCATAAAGGAAGAAGGAATAACCGTGAGAAACAGGAGGAAGAGCTGCTCCAGAACAGTGCTCAGATAAAAGAAATTTGAGTCTGGGGCAGAACTGTAACCTGGGAAAGCACCTCAGACAAGACCTACCTTAGTGTCACAAAGATGAAGGTGGGGGGGAGTGCATTCAGACTTGCAAGATTCTGTTACTGTAACCTTATAATAAAAGTAGTATTAGCTTGGTCTACCTTGGAGGGCTGACAGACTGTCATAACTTTGCCAATGTCTTTCTTGCTTCTTTTGCCTCTGTTCCAAGTCTTCTGCTTTTCCTCCAAGGAAAAGGGTGGTAAAGACCTGATACCCCTGGATTCTGCCCTCATCTGGTGTCAGAAAAAAGAGGGGAAAGGGGACTTCCAGGGACAGCAATGGTAGACTGAAGACAGGAAGCTGCTTTTTACTGATTTCTTAGAAGTTAAGAACCTTCGAAGGGCAAATTCTATTACATCAGGAGAATCCCCTTCTATCTAGGATGAAAGAAGCTCCATGTAAGTGTAAGGATTAAAAAGAAAAGATTTACTTTTTGGAAAACAGCAAAAGGGAGACTAGAATGTGGATTTTGGAAAGTTAAGGTGCTAGATGGACTTGAAAGAATATTTCTGGTGGGGTGTTTAAAAAATTATGAAAGAATATATGAAGATTTTGAAATGAATTGTAAGAAATCCTCCCGTGGGAAAGTTTTCTTGACTGGAAAATAAACAGATGATAAGAGGGGACTTGAAGGTTGTCTAGAGGAAACCAGAGAGAACAAATGATTACAATTAAAGGAGAAGAGACCCATTAATACAAAGGAAATATATTATTTGACTATAGAAGAAATTAAGGCTATTTGGGAACATTGTACTCAGAAATTACTTACAAGATTGCCTGATACTATAACAGAGGATATAGAAGAACAACAGATTTTATTGGACAAAACAGAGATTGTGGCTGATTTGAATGTGGATTTGGAGTTTTAAAAAATGCTGGATTATAAAAGCAAAATGGAAAAAGATACTGTGGATTTGAAAATGGATTTACAAATGAAACCAGCTGACGTCATAATAATTAAAGGGGACATGCAATAAATGCATAAATCGGAAGGGTGACTTGGAAAGCCTTCTTATTTTGGATTTACAAAAGTGTGTTAAACCAATGAAGTTGTTCCTGAAAGGAGACAAAGAGTAAATAATAAGAAATCAACTTGTGGGACATTATTTGACAGGATTAAAGATTAATCTTTTGAAAATAAACAGAAGGTTTACAAAGTGAACTTATTTGACTATGGTTAAAATATAGATTGTGGTTTCTGGCCGCTATTAATTGGACTTCTTTTTGACCAGGACTGAATGACGAGGTTTTAAGGATTTGTTTATAACTGGGGAGAGATTTCATTTGCTTTACTTCTTAAAGAAAGTGATAAATTGAATTACAAAACGGATGTTTTTGATTAAGGTTAAAATACATATGTTACTATTTTTGGTAGCTCTTAATAAATGTTTGCTGATTAGGATTAAATGATGAGTTTTTATAATTTGATTATTGATAAGGGATAAGATATGAGAAGAAGAGATCTTTTTTCTTTTTTTTTTACTGAAATACTAGAGAAGGTGCTAAGTTACTGAAATTTCTGATACTTGTCCGGAGGGAGGGAAAAGTCATCTTTTATTCTCTTTTTTCTTTTTCTTTTTTTCCATTCTTTTTTCTACCTCTTCGTGCTTCTCTTTTTCTTTTCTTCATTTTTTATATTTTCCTTGCTTGTGTTAGTCTTTTATTTTTGTATTTGTAAACTCTAATAAAAATTATTATTAAAAAAGAAGAAGAAAGCGGGGAACGGCTGCTTTGATACTGGGAGAGCTAGGGATGACTTAAATCTATTTTACTCCTTATATGTTCAGCCCACAACTAAAAGTCAGAAGATCAGGTCGGGAAAATAAACCCAGCACTGCAGTAAGGAAGGCTCATGTTCTTAATTTGCAATCATTTATGCTTTTGCAACCTAACTGTCAAGCCACTGTCAAAATTTTACATCTCTATCAGGGGTGTCTGCAGGGTGTGGTTGAAAAATTCAGATGGCAGCCATCAAACTCCATCCATTTCTTAATGGGTGTCACCCTTCCAGGTGCCATCTTGACTTTTTTGACCACATCCTGCAGAACCACTCCCACCCCCTATTTCTATGACTCAAAGAGGTCCTCATTCTTGGCATTCTTAAACAGGGATTCACTGCAGTTGCTACAGGGAACCAGACTTTGCCCCAGTGTTCACACACACACACACACCCCATTTACAAAATTTAATTCGGGCTTTCTCAGATAAACCATACCACTGGGATATCTTATGCCTGTGTGTCATTAAGACTGTGTATCACCTCTAATGTACAATTCATGAAAAAAAATCACCATGAAAAATGTGGGGCTTTGGTAACGGTATGGGGGAATGACCGTGAGAGGCAGGAGGAAGAGCCGCAGACTAGGCAATGGTCAGATAAGAGGCAGCTGAGCCCTCAGCAGGAATGGCAGTGTGGAAAACATCTCCGAAGGGACCCTCCCTAGTTTCTTGGGCTGTAAAGGCAAGGGGGGAGAGACGGACGTTCAGACTTGCAAGATTCTGTTAATGTCACTTTACAGTAAAGCAGACTTTGTTCGTAAGAGTATGCTTCTTGTCTGGACTCCTTTGCAAGGCTGACAGTTTAGGATGCCAACATTGTACAGGCATGGTCTTGTTACAACAGAGTTCTTTGCTTTGCATCCTGCTACTCAGGGGTGGAGTCTTCCTGAACATGGAGGCTTTATTTAGCCATCATCGAACACACTGCCCTAAGTGCAATTCTTTGTACTCCTATGACTAGTATTACCATTACTACAGGTTCGTAATATGGCTCTAGAGTTGCCAACTGTCCAGGGAAATAAACAAACTAAGATTGTCAGCTGGCCAAGCAAAGAACAACCAAACCATCTGGGCTTGTTACTCTCCTTCAGCGCAAATCAGGGGAATATATGGACCTTCAGATCTGCTGAAATGTCTGTTTCCGTCAGTGGCCAGCAGGTCCAACAGTTAGATATGATGAAACCAATTCTCCAATGTCATCCAGCAAACACCCAGTTCTGCATTTCGGTTTGAGCAAAGGTTTGATGTGCCCAAAACTGCCAGCCGGCCATGGAGCAATATGTGTTACATAACTGCTAGATTTCGGATGGCCATTAAAAGCACAGTGACAAAGGCTTGTTCAAGAGGCAGCAACTCGTGAGTCAGAATAAAAGGTCCCTTTAAATGCGTCATTCAAGAATTTCCCACATTTGTACATGGTGATCTTTCTTTGTTTCTAAATAACTCTCTCTGCAATGCAGGGTTTCTCAACCTCAACCACTTTAGGATGTGTGGACTTCAATTCCAGAATTCCCCAGCCAGCCTTGGCTGGCTGGAGAATTCTGGGAGTTGAAGTCCACACATCTTAAAGTCCCAGAGGTTGAGGAACGCTGCTATAATGGGTCAAAACTAAATACGGGAACTGCTTCTTTGCTTTGCATCTAGCTATTCAGGGAGACTGACCTGTACCTATTTTCACTTCTTTCTGACTTCTGATGATCTACAAACAGCACCTCCTGTTTCCACCCTCATGCAGCATGCTTGCAAATAATTTATCTGGCAAATCAGGACCAGTTACCCCAAGGTAGGTCCCCCAAAGATGCTTAATATCTGCTTTTCTTTATCATGTGGGGAATTGCTCCCCAATCTTCCTGAACAGAGGACCTGTTTGGGATATTGAGGATGTTACGAATGTTAAGGCTTCTGGGCAGAGATGTCCATAGGATGTGGTCAAAAACAGAAAGATGGTGGGTGTGACAGTGCGACCAAAGTTTTGCCCATTTTTTTATGTGTGGTGTGACATTGATCAGAAGCAGCCAGAGCGTTGACTGCACCGTCACGGCTGCCGTGTTGAGTTTTTTGACCATACCCTGCAGACACCCCTCCTTCTGGGGTCCAAAAATGACTATCGTGCCAGGATGGCAATTCAGAAGGCAGAAAAGGTAAGTTTTGATATCAAGGAAGGTTCAATAACAAGGAAGAACTCCACAAGCAAACTGAAGCTGAAAGTTCACCACTGGACATTTATGGCAACATTCCCTGAACATATTGCCCCATATGCTGAACCATAAATTAATCAAGCAGACCAAGAATTGCCTGGGGATGAAGTTCAGCCCTGGCTTGGATAAACGTGATGGATGATTGCAACCCAAGTATTGGTTGCTAGACGATGTTATCTTTGTTTTTAAGTAGTAGAATTATGTGTTCAGTAAAGAAGCAGGATAGAAAGAATATTGATGCTTTTAAACTCTGGTGTTGGAGAAGACCAGGAACAGCCAAGAAAAGAAACCAATGGATCATTGAACAAATCAACCCAGAGTTCTCACTCAAGGCACAAAAAACCAGGCTCAAGTACTCCTACTTTGGACGCATTATGTGAAGACCCAGCTCTCTAGAAAAGGCTGTGATGCTGGGAAAGGTGGAAGAAAAGAGAAGAAGAGGACGACCAGCAGCAATGTAGATGGACACATTTACAGTGGTGATGGATACACCATTGGAAGATCTCAAGGACCAGGTAGGGGACAGATCATCCTGGAAAAGGTCCATCTATGCGGTCACAAAGAGTTGAAACTGACTTGATAGAACATAATCAATCAGTCAATGCAAAGACCCAGGTTCTTTGAAAAATCCATAATGCTGGGAAAGGTGGAAGGAAAGGGAAGAAGAAGACGACCAGCGGTAAGTTGGACGGATTCAATTACAACATTGATGGATATATTGTTGGAAGGCCTGAAGAGCCACCTTAGGGACAGGTCATCCTGGAGAAGGTTCATCTATGTGTCAGCCCTAATTTGATGGCATTTAACCAGGAAGATGAAGACTTTGAATGACTCAGCCAAGACACCTGTTCAAAACATTCCACTGTCTCACCTGACAGGACAGGAAGATGTCTCACAATGACAGGTAGACTTGGGCATCATCAGCACAGTGATGACACTTCATCCAAATGTCCAGATGTTTTCTCCAAACAGTTAATATAGTGCAGATGCAATTGGAAGGAAAGATCGGATGGATCTTTGTAGAAATCAACTAAATCGTTGCCGTGATATTGAGCACCCTAGGGCAAGTGACATGATCTGGTTGACCTCGAAGGGCTGACAACTGTATGACAGTTGCATCGTGATGCAACTGACGCAAATTACATCATTTGTGTCATTTGTTTGATGGCATTGTGGAATATATGACATGACTGTGGCTTCTATTGGATTCCTAGGCTGAGGACATCCCTTGTCCACAGCTTCTGCTTCTGAAATTGAGCTGTCAAAGAGGAGTAGGACCACATCTTTGGAAACCTCCTCCATCAGGTGACCCAGAAGGAGGTCAGTTCTTCCTGGAGCAGGTTCCAATCCTCAAAGCAGACCAAAAGCCAGACTGTAATGCACCCAAGGTAACTCAAGTCACTTTCATCTGGAAAAGCTTTACCATCATGCACACAAACTTTTGGCTCAGAAAACTGAAGATCTGCAAGCAGTAGAGAACCGGAGATCAGTGGGATCTAGAGAAGCTGTCTTTAAAAGAGACATCAAGTCAACATTGGATCCACCTACATGGTAAAGGCCTAAGAGTAGGCAACCACTCAGCGTGCCCGGGGCAAGCGAGTTCCCTACGTTGCAGCAACATCCGTAGCAAAACACAATGCCATCAACACGCCTACAAGTTCACAATGATGTCTTCACGCAAATGCCACATTTAGGTACTTGTGTTGCAACGTTCGATGCAAGGGGACAGTCTGTAGCATTTGCATGATGACATCATTACCATGTGAGTTGTCACGTGGTCCTCCTCCAGATGCCTCCAGATGTTGCCCCGCATTAACTACATCTCTATTTGCAAAGTGGTGGTTACAGTGGACTTCTGTAAGCAACCAGCAAGTCCACAGTAACCAGGCTGCAGCAATTAAAACCAGATGCAAGAAACCACAATCATCATATCGTTGCTGCAGAAATACTAGAAGCAGGCCCGAGAAACTGTGTCCACCCATGCTGGTTGGGGAATTCTGCATGTTGAAGTCCACACATCTTAAAGTTGCCAAGGTTGAGAAACCCTGATCCAGAGGAAGCTGATTCTGTAAGGTAGCTTTGCAGCTAGGCAGAACCCAGGCTGGCATTCACCATACCAGTCTTTTGGATGTATAAACCATGGTTTATAGCAGCTGGGTGACTCCAGCCAATTATGGTTTATTCAGTAAACCACAATTAAGCAAACCTTGGCTGAATGTGCTGTGTACACAGAAATATGGCCCTAACCTAGGATGGATCAGGATACTAAGTGCCAGACAAACATTGTTCTACCCAAGCATATTTCTGATCCTTTTCAGGACAACTAAGAAACAAGAATTAGTCCTGTTTACTTGGCAACAACTGAGTTTATTTTAACTTTCCATTCAGCCAACAGCATTGACATCTTGCTCTCCAGATTGCTAGACTACAGTTCCCATTATCCCCAACCATTGGCCCTTGCATCTGAGGTTAATGGGAGCTTTATTTGAGAGCCCCTGGTTGAAAAGTTTTCTTTCAACCACTTAAGAAAAGTTGCCGCCCTTCCCGGCACTCCAGTTGAACAATGTAATAAGTTCCTTAAATATATTCAAAAGTTCTCTCCCAAATGAAGCCGAAAAATCCCACCATTTTTCTCTCTTAAAAAAGCAAAACACCTAACAAAAAGTCAGAGCCCCAAAATGCTTGTGGAAGTTCTGTAATTTAATACTTAGTCAATATTGTCTGATCACCAGAAGCTAAGTAGAATCAGACCTGATTAGTATTTGGAAGGGAGACCACTCAGAAATCCCAAGGGCACGGGGTAGACTGGAAGTAAATACACATACTTATTCCAGAAATAGATAACAGCAATCCACGTCCACACAGTTGCCAAGAAAATTGTCCATGAAGTCACCAGCTCAGCTTCAAGACATTTTTACTTTCATCTCCTCCCTTAGCCAACATGGCTTCTTATAAACTAAGATTATGCGGAGAATTTTGCAGCAAAGCTTGCAAGATCTGCAGCACGGGAAAACCCTCTTTGCCTTTATTTTTCTACACAACATGCTAATACAACCAGAAGACGCAAACACAACCGGGCAAAGCAACGAGATCCCCGTCTCGCTGCAACCCTGGGCAACCCCCTCCATCCCCCCACCCCAGAAAAAAAAGAAGGAAACTGAGATTTCCTGCTTCTTTTTCAGGCCATGTCAGAAGTTTCCCAGGACAATTCTTCCCTGCCCGGCCAACCCAGCCCTAATCACAACAGCCACTGCGTGTTGCAGGAAGTCAAACATCTTGCCGGGAATTTATCACAGCATTTCCATTCAGATAGCCGAGGGCTCCTCTTTGGTATTTCTGTTCAACAACAACCACAGCCACAACCACGACAATTCCCTCCCCAGAGGATTGGGCCCCAAAAAACAAGAACGCGAGAAACGATCACTCGCTGGAAAGGAGGAAAAGAATCTGCAAGATTAAATCTAACTTTGAGGTTGTTTGCTTAAAGGTGAACCTGAGACCCAAAAGCCAGCCACCGCCCTGGATCTGCTGCGGTTGCCAAGCGTCCTTACCCAGCCTTTGCCCGTTCAAAGCGGCCACTTTCCGGCTTTCTTCCACTAGCAGATTTTCCTGGGATTTGCTGAGTTTGGGCTGTTTTCTGAAGCACTGCATTGCGCTCCAGGAGAGGCACCTGAATTCCGATGCACATCAGGAACACCCTCGAGGGCTTCCGGAAGGAGCCGGGAAGCCGCCAAATCCTTTTTTGTGGGAGAGATGGACGAAAAAGCAGCTGGCAAAGAAGAGCAACTGAAACGAGAACACAACAGTAGAGGAGTGGCGGAGGAGGAGGGAGGAGGAGGAGGTGAAAGAGGCTCGCCTGCGAGGCTGGGGCTCTGATGCAAATGAGTTGCGCAGTCAAGGGATGGCCGAAGTTCAAAGCAATTAAAACTGGATTGACTTCCATGTGACACAACAGGGAAACAGAAGTGGCAGGATGGCTTTTAGGTCTCTGTAAGACTGGCTATTTTCTCCCAGGAGCTCAGGCGTGATGACACTGATTGACTGCTTTTATTTTCCTTCTCTTCTGGAGAACAGAAGGCGTTACGGGAGACTTTCTCTTAATTGTTGTCCCCCAGCAATATAGCTCCCTTCCTCCCATTTTTCTCACCACAACCTTGTCAGGCAGGCACCGCTAGGAAAGGGTGACAGAACAGAATGGGAACTTAATGTGGCTATCGCAATAGCAATAAAACGCAACATATAACCAGAAGGGTGAGGGAGAGAAATGGTGGTTGAGAACAAGAACCTCAACATAAGGGCCAATTAGTTGGTGAATTCTGTGGTCAACAGGGACACGGATCTGTAGCTCTAGAGCAGTGTTTCTCAACCTTGGCAACTTTAAGATGGGTGGACTTCAACTCCCAGAATTCCCCAGCCAGCCT